TATATGTGGTGGGCATAAAGTATTGGCGATTGAGTTGAGCGAAAAGTTGTGTGGTGTGAGATTAGAATGGTGGCATGTAAATATTTGGGGTTTGGGCAATGAATGCAGGCAAGGGTTTCCATGTGTGAAAGCTTTGGGTGCTGTGCGAGTCCTTTGGGACAGGTTTTGGTCTAGCCCGTGCTTGCATTCATTTGACACATGTTTAAAGTGGTAGATAGTATTAGACAATGGGACGCCAAGTTGGAAAATAGTGCCGCGATTATAATTTAGTTTTAATTTATATTGATAAAGGGTTTCTAAGGTAAGAATTCCAAATGGCAAGGATGCATTTACCACGTGGAAGTTCTCTCTACGGGTTATTTGGCCTATTGTCAGAGGGAAAGTTAAATGTCCTATTATTTTCGTAAAACTATTTAGGGTGGATAGATCAAGGGAAGGTTTTTTAATACTTAAATTGGGGAGTTGTGCTTTTAATCTATTGTATAAATGATACGGCAATATGTTCGAACCTGCGTCTGGTTCAATGAGAAAGGTACATGGTAGGTCCTGGGTCAGATACAAGTCCAAAGTTAATTTGATGATGTCATTGGGTGGATTGCCTACCTTAGTCTCGAAAAGTCTCCATTGTGGCGTCTTCGGCTTGGTGTGGTTGGCTTGGAATATCTGTTGCACCGGATCGGGACCTTTTGCACTGTCCGCGCGATTGAAAGGGAAATCTAGTCATTTGTACTGCTTCCATTCGAGTGGAACGCGTTGTCGGTACACTGGGTCCGTGTCGCGTGGGTTGCTTCCGGGTGTACTGGTACGGCATGGCGGGTGGCGACTCCTCGGTGGGCTTCAGGTTGTTCGGACACGTACCGGTGGTGCGGGCGGCGGTTGTCCCGAGGGTGGCGCTCCGGAAGACCGCTTTCAGTTGCGGGGATCTCGCCCCTTGTAGCGCGGCGGTCAGTTCTAAAATTACCGTCGCCAGGGTGTGTCTTGTCGCTTCGTTCGTTGTCAGCTTCTTTCCGTTCGTTGCCAGTTCCTTCTCTCTTGGGTTGTCATTGCCTTTTGTTGTGCTGGCGCCTGGGTTAATTTCCATCTTTATCCTGATTAAGCTCTATAATCTTTATCCTGTCGACTCTGTGTAATATGTTGCTGCAATTTTTGTTATTACACTGTAATATTTGTTGTATTACACTGTTGTAGAATCCTGTCGACTTAACCGTTCTGTGGCAATATCGTTGCGGGGTTTCTTATTGTTGGATGCGAATGGTGAGATTTGGTTGTAGCGCAGTCGTTGAGTGGTAAGTGAAGCACACAGTTAGGAATAATCAGGACACGTGATTGAGTTTGGAAATATAAGGCAACGGGTTGGAGGAAAGAAAGCTTGAGAAGAACTGAGCGATTTGACTTATTAATTAGTTGATCACATGGCGGTGATTGTACTTAGCTGTGGGATGAGCAGAGGGAGAGAGGTCTAGAGCAGATGTCACCTTCTTGGAAGCTAAATCACTACTAACCATTCTTGTCTTTCGATTTAACACCACGAGTCAGTTTCTCTCTGATTGGTTGAGAGATCTCACATGATCTTTCCCTATTGGTTGACCTACTTAAGGTGTTATCTTCTGATAGGCCGGCGGCTTCCTTTGGTGAAAGCTGTGCCCTGCCTGGTATATCTGATTTCGTCAGGAAGTGTTTGGTGTCTTGACGCTTATAGTTTCGAAGGATATTAGACACGTCCTGTTTTTGCCGGAAGTACTGGATATCTCTCAAACTTTTATAACTTCTGGTCACTCGACACGTCCTGTTTGTCAGGAAGTATTGAGTGAATCTTGGCTAAAATAACTTCTGCGGTCACTAGAGACGCCCGGTCTCTGCCCCTGCAATGTTGACACAGGGGTGCCAAAATAGTCGTGCCAGCTTTAGTCTTACTTCCTATATCTTTTGTTACTTTCTTTCCTCCAGTTACCTTGTTCTTTATTAAGTCTTTGAAAATCATACATGGTACATACATAGTGGGTCGGGGTCGCATTTAATTATATACAAATTATGACATGTATATATACAGTTAAACCTGTCGCCCCCTCTTGGGACTCACCAAAATAGGGTGCTATAGAGAGGGGGTGCTATAGACAGGTCACTTTTAATGTAAATCGCATCATACTACGTATTTAAAATCGGGCGCTATAGAGAGGTAGGCGCTATTTAGAGGGGGCACTATAGACAGGTTTAACTGTATATACATTCACTATGTACAAGTTGTACATGGCGCCTCTGCCACTGCTGCAGAGTTTGGTGGAGAATCGCCAGCGGGTCTCCAGTGACACCACGCAACAGCCATTAGATAGGATGATTATCTGCCAATATCTGATAAATATCCCCGGTCCAAATGCCATCAACAGAGTATAGTGGGGGCTAGCCTATGGTGGGCCTATAAAAACCACAAAACTCAATAACGAGATTGTGGATAATTAACAAAATTATGCCGCCATTAAAAGTAAACACAATCAACCAACAGCTATGTCTGAACCCATATTAGGGTCATCAGCAAAGTTGTCTGTTCTCCATGTTAGGAATTACCTCGTCTGAAGCTAAGTACCACAGTATGTAGACTTTAGATTGTTTGAGTCAATGGCAGACCTATCATTTACCTATCATGAGTTTACCATTGCCTTTTGGGGGGTCGGTGGAAGGCTGGTTAAACCATTTGGTTTTCGACCACTACGACCCGGGTTCGATTCCCGCATTAGACACTTTTTTCTGATTTAAAAAGAAATGCTCCAATGGCCCCCAATTCTTGCAAAAGTCCAACCCCACCAGCGAGTGCAAGTAACCAAACAGGGCTCTGGCACATTTGTAAGTGCAAAGTCGAACTGCTTTTCACATGTATAGACATGTGGTGCGCTTACAGTAAAAGCAGTCGCTAACTACCCACCATGATTATCATGGCCTGTACCACGTGTACTAGGGATAATTTTAAAAAAACCATTGCCTTCTTGAAGTTTTCTAAATTTTAAGTACAAATAAGTGTTTCTTCAGAACAATACAACAGGTAATGGCATTTTCATTAATATACACTCATGGACAAAACTTTTTATTATTATTATCCCTAGTATACACATGTGGTACAGGCCATGATAATCATGGTGACTGCCTTTACTGTAAGTGTACCACATGTCTACACACGTGAAAAGCAGTTACTTTTGCACTTACAAATATGCCAGAGCCCCGTTTGGTTAGTTTCACTCGCTGGTGGGGTTGGACTTTAGACAAAACTTAAGGAAGTGGAAAGTCTTTGATGTCACCTTTTTTTTTTTTTTTAAGGAGACAGAGGCAATTTTATTCACACTTGGTTATCTCATGTGTCTTCAATAAAGGTCACTGTAATATCTTTCAGAGTTATTGTCTCAATCCAGATATACATGCTAAAAGGTACAACTTCCTTAAGTTTTGTCCATGAGTGTATCTTTCAGAGATATTGTCTCAATCCCGATATACATACTAAAAGGTACAACTTCCTCAAGTTTTGTCCTTGAGTGTATCTTTCAGAGTTATTGTCTGAATCCCGATATACATGCTTAATGGTACAACTTCCTTAGGTTTTGTCCATGTGTGTATCTTTCAAAGTTATTGTCTGAATCCCGATATACATGATGAAAGGTACAACTTCCTTAAGTTTTGTCCATGAGTGTATCTTTCAGAGTTATTGTCGCAATCCCGATATACATACTAAAAGGTACAACTTCCTCAAGTTTTGTCCTTGAGTGTAAATATTCGCCTTCTGCTGAGAAATGATAGGCAAAATACAATATTTTGAAGCATTTTTCAAGTGGATTTTTCTTTTAACCATTCTATCATCCTATTATAATCTATAATCCAAATTGTGCTTTATCATATCATCCTTCTATAAAATTGTAACTAGTTATATATTGTACTATCTGAAATCCAAACTGTGTACTTTTACTAATTACTTTTATATTTCAAAGAGATTCTTCGATAAATGGTCGCAATTGTATGGGAAGTCGATATTCATTTTCCCCCATTTAGAATGTAATTTTTAGTGCAAAGTCGAACTGCTTTTTACATGTGTAGACATGTGGTGCACCTTACAGTAAAAGCAGTCGTCAACATCTACCTACCATGATTATCATGGCCTGTACCATGTGTACTAGGGATAAGCAAAAAAAAGAATGTAATTTGAAAATGCATTTAGATAAGTACTCTACCTCCAGTTTCAAAGGAAATGTCATCTATATTTCTCTCTGAAGGCTGTTCAGAATATTGTAAGAAAGAATGTTGCTTAAAATGTGCGTTATGCATAGATGAAATCCATAAGATGGTAACAAGATTTAGAACAGGCCATCTCAAGCCATTGAAGATAGAAAATAACAACAAAATCTACCCCACTTGCCCAAAATGTAGCTTGACACCTGCAGCTCCAGAACACATTTTGGCTTGTATTAGATGTACTAAACAGGACCTTTGGGAGAGGCCACTGCTTATCATAAAACAGCTCGAGAAGCATGGACTCGTAGAATTTGTATAATCTTTACACAAGGGGATAAGAAACAACAACAACATAGATGGTATATCCTGTTTTATCCTTCATTGTAGTGGCTTCAGGGGTAAAGACACAAATTGGCAGCTTCATATGTATATCACAGTAACAAATCAAAGATTTATAAGTTTTTTTTTTCTCTGATTCATTGTCCAATGAGAGCTACTTGTACTACCAGTTCTACAGCAGAAAAGCTGAGAAAATCGCTATAAAAAATTAAGAAGCAAGATGACTGAAAGACACACTCTTTTATGGCTCAACATCAAGATTGAGTAGACACAAGGTAATAAGACCAAATCAAATAAATAGTGTGTAACGTTTCAGTACTTTTGTCTAAAGATGATAACAACGCTGTTACTGAAATGTCATATACTATTTATTTATTTGGAGATTTGGTCTTATTACCTTGTGTTTATAATCTATAATCCAAATTGTACCTTATCAAGATTGAGTAGAGTTTATTCCTTATTTATTGATACTCTGGTTCTCATCTGATCATCAAAGTTAGGCAATGTTGGGCCCGGTCAGTATTTGGGAGGGTGACCACTAGGAGACACTGGGTGCTGTACCTACCATGTTATCGTGACCTGTTCCATGTGTACTAGAGATAATAATAATTTGTTTTTAAAAGAAAACTACGCGCAGTCTGGGATATGACAAGATATATTTTAATAGTTTATACCACAATCGTTAAGGTACAATTTGGATTATAGATTATAAACACAAGGTAATAAGACCAAATCCAAATAAATAAATAGTGTGTGACGTTTCGGTAACAGCATTGTTACTGAAACATCACACACTATTAATTTATTTAGATTATTTTATTCTTTTGTCTGAAGATAGTAACAACGCTGTTACCGAAACGTCGCACACTATTTATTTATTTATTTGGATTTGGTCTTATTACCTTGTGTTCATACCACAGTTCTATATATAGAGATTATATAAAGGTTTAGAGATTTAAACATCTTGTGTATTTGTGTGAAAAAAAAAATGGAAGTTTTTCCCGAGAACTTAAAAGGGTTCAACTAAAGTAATTAGCTATTAACCATAACTTTCAGTTTTACAAGGGGAAATATTTATCTAATAAACTTCTTGAAATATCCCAAATTTGCATAACTATCTCCCAGAGCTCTCAAAATGGTGGTGTGGACCAGAGGAACTCATCACACCCATCCAGGTGTCCCCAGCAGCTGAGTCGACAGCACCCCCCGAGCTGTGTGACGATGAGGACTGTGGGTCGGGGGATGGGGACCCCTCCACGACAGCGCCCAACACCTCAGTGCCTTCCACCGCCGAGCCAGCGACACAGCAGGACAGTAGCACCAAGAGCCCCGCAGGTCGCAGCAAGGGCAGGTTCCTGGGCAACACCGCCCTGGTGATAGCAGGACTGGCCGGGGTCCTCCTCACCCTCGTGCTGGCAGCCCTAGTGGTCTACAAGGTGAAGAGCCGCGCCACCCCCCACGGTACCTACCGCGTGGATGAGAGCAAGAGCTTCCCCTTCGCTGCCCCCGCCTCGCCCCCCGCCGCCTGCCCCCACATGAACGGGGCCCTCCAGATGACAGAGCGGGTAGCAAGGGGTACAAAGAAGAAAAAGAAACCTCCGGTAGATCTACGAGAATGGTATGCTTGATCTTATTACTCCCTATTTTTGTAAAGGGAACCTTTTCACTCTCTTTGAAGATTAGAACATTGGTGCCATTGGTGTGCTAGGCACATTCTACAAGAATCTGTGTATCATATTGCTGAAATACTAATATAGAACTATCACATTGCTGCGAGTATTTCACATTTTCTCATTAGGGATAACGAACTTAAACAGTTTATTAATAGCTTCCAATATCTCAACAAGAATGATCTTCTAGAACCTTTCTAGACACCCAGTTCAACAAAAGTGCCTCTAGAAGCCTTGTTGAAATATTGAAAGACATCAATTAACTGTTTGATCTAAGCAATAGAGGCTTAGTAATCTTCTTCTTTCTTATCTGCACTCAATCATATTAGGGTATCAAGTTGTAACCCTTGATGGTGTCTGTTTGACAACCATCATAACTGGGTGAATGAAGTAGAATGCGTCTGCCTTTGTCATTAAGACTGGGAGCACTACTCAGTGGCAGGCCGACTTAGCTCCAAAATAAATGGCCGCCTCTGACATGAGGAACAGACGCCATGTACAGCCGCTCCTAACTTGGAGTACAGACTCATCCTGTATCGCTGGATCAGGAGCTCTTACAGGGTACTATCAGCCGGGCCAGCTGAGCCCAGGTTTTTTAGTGAGCTTGTTACTGCTCCCCCTCCTCCTTTTTCATCCGGGCTTGGGACCGGCAAAGGCGGAGTTGGGGCTTAGTAATTAAATAAAGGAATGAAACCTATTTATCTTTCTTCCAAGTATTAACCAAGTGAGAGAGTAAGTGTAGGCACATAGGTTGTGGAGTACTGGTCTGATAGAAACAGCCTAAACTGTGACATAACTGCCAGCTCATTCAACAGAATCATGATCTCATTCTATTTCATAACATATTCTTGTTTACCATCACACGCTAGTTCAATCCTTTATTTGATTATTATATGCATAACTATATTAATTGGCTAATATGTCGATATATTCGAAATGTCTGTTGTTTTTATCCACTGATTAGTTGTGTCTTCTTCTACTGATTGTGACTCTTAAGTCCTTACAGCAAAGCCTTCCATCCCCATATCTTTGTAAAAATGTTTAAAAAAGGCCATTCTCTTGTAATTCTGTCATCCACTCCAAGTGTAAGACAAGATAACCGTCCATACATACAGCTTTGTCTCCAGTAGTTTATATACTCTCCCATTATATCTTCAAACATTGTGAAATATACACCAGTTTGCTGTTATCTAATTGATAACTTTTTAAAATGTCTTTGAATTGTTTTCTAGGAGCCTAGATCATAATGCGATTATTATTCAACATTTTGTTGATTTCAACACAAGACAGTAGTTTCTTCAAGGATACTTCGGCCAGCAAATCTTTTTTATTGTCTCTACGTTTTGACAAAAATCTTTTGTCCTCGTCAGGAGCGAACCAAAATTTTGTCGAAATGTCGAGACAATAAAAAAGATTTACTGGACGAAGTATCTTTAATTTGAAGAATTATGAATGTCGGCCAGGCAGCCTCTCTATCTTTACGAAGACAGTAGTTGTTATCCTTGCAATGTTTTTATTTAGCAGGATTCCTGTAAATCCCAGTCTCTCCTAAGGCTGCTATAATCTCTTCAACAGACTCCTTCAAGTCAATCCATCTACAGCCATAGTCTAGTGGTGAGATGTTACCTTGGGCCAGTTGTTTCATTCACTAAGGATTAAGTACTGAAGTGATTTCCCTTTGTCTGCCTTCCAAAACATCCATATGTAAGTTCATCCCACCTTTAGAAGACGTGATTTGGTACACTTTGAATTATAGATTAGAAACACAAGGTCTTCTTCTTCTTTCTTATCTAGAATCACAAGGTAATAAGACCAAATCCTAATAAATAGTGTGTGACATCTCTGTACCAGCATCCTTTACCATCAAAAAAGTATTAAATGACTATATATGATTCAGTACTTTTATCTTCTTCTTCCTTATCTCCACTCAATCATATTAGGGTCTGGGTGAAGTAGAAAGCATCTGCCTTTGGGAGCACTACTCAGTAGCAGGCCGACTTAGCTCCAAAATAAATGGCTGCCTCTGACATAAGGAACAGATGTCATGTGCAACTGCTCCTAACATGCGAGTACAAAGGCTGCTTTTATCTGATGATGTTTTACCAGTTACCGAAACACACTATTTATTTATTTGGTCTTATATTTTACTTTGTGTTAATTTTAGAAGCAGTTTCCAACTTTGTTGCGAGTTCCCTCCTCTGTCTTAGGATAGAGTTGAGACTTATTCCCCGGTCTCTGCTCAGCCCACTACTGACTTAGCTGCTTTAGGATGTTGTCCGCCACGTAGAAATGCCATGTTGGAATATTGCCTTCAAAAGAAATGGGACTTTATAGTATTATATTTCCCACACTACTTCAGTACTACTCCAGGTTTACAATGTTTGTTTGCACGATTAGACTTTTGTCGAACACGCCATCTTTTATTTTATCTTTTTGCAAATAGCTGCACATACGTAGATCACATAGATATGTAGATATGATGGTGTCTATAGCCTGTGTAGAAAGAAGAATTCCCACACAAAAAAAGTTTCCATTAGTCAAGATAATAATAGAGACTAATATTTATTCCTCAACATGTTTCAACCAATGTATGTAACACAGGTGCCATTTGTGCAGTTAATAACCTACCATTTTATCATCAAGGCTTTATTTTACAAATTTTACATTGGTAGAATCCAAATGCTTACTTTAAACTAAAATGCCAAAAGTCCTCTTCTTTCTTATCTCCACTCAATCATATTAGGGTATCGCGCTTGTAGAGCTTGTTGATGGTGTCTGCTGGGGATGAATAGAGCTCATCAATGGAGATTTGACATCCATAATGACTGGGATGAAGTAGAATGTGTCTTCTGTTGTCATTAAGACTGGGAGCACTACTCAGTAGCAGGCCGACTTAGCTCCAATATGTAATAGCCGACTCTGACATGAGGAACAGACGCCATGTGTAGCTGCTCCTAACATGGAGTACAAACTCATCCTGTATCCCTGGATCAGAAGCCCTTACAGGGTACTATCAGCCGGGACAGCTGAGCCTAGGTTTTTTAGCAAGTTTGTTGCTGCTCCCTCTCCTCCTTTTTCATCAGGGCTTGGGACCGGCAAAGGCAAAGTTTTTTTTTTTTTTTTTTTTTTTTTGCTTATCCCTAGTACACGTGGTACAGGCCATGATAATCATGGTGGGTAGTTAGCGACTGCTTTTTACTGTAAGCGCACCACATGTCTACACATGTGAAAGCAGTTCGACTTTGCACTTACAAATGTGCCAGAGCCCCGTTTGGTTACTTGCACTCGCTGATGGGGTTGAACTTTTGTAAGAATTGGGGGCCATTGGAGCATTTTTTTTTTAAACAGAAAAAAGTGTCCAATGCGGGGATCGAACCCGGGTCGTAGTGGTCGTAAACCAAACGGTTTAACCAGCCTTCCACCGACACAGCCTTCCACAAATGTTATGTTTACGAGATTATGTCCTGAATATCTTATTGAAATATTTTACATTTGAGCTCTTTATTTATATAAATACAGTAAACCCGCTCTCTGGTACCGTCTATTTTTACCTCAGTTTTCACTTTATTAATGTTAAGATTGACCATCCAACATGTTTCTATCCATTGAACCTTGTTTTTAACATTACCTAGCTATTGCGGTCTCAACAACTATTTTCCTTTGAAGACCTTAATAAAGAGGTTTTCTGTGTGAATGCTAAAAATGACCTTGTTATTAAGGTTTCTTCCCTATTATAGTCTCAACAACAATTTCCTTTGAAGACCTTAATAAAGAGGATTTTTTTTTCCTGTATGCTAAAAATGATCTTGTTATTAAAGATCATATTACGATCTCAACCGGCCATTTTCCTTTGAAGACCTTAATAAAGAGTTTTTTTTCCCCATATGCTAAAA